AGCTAAGGCCGGACGGGGCAGGCTGAGACCGGGGAGAAGTAGGCTGAGGCCGGCAGGGGTAGGCTAAGACCGTAAGGGAGTACGATGAGGCCGGGCAGGACAGGCTGAGACCGGGGAGGAGTAGTAGGCTGAGGCCGGGCAGGGCAGGCTGAGACCGGGGAGGAGTAGGCTGAGGCCGGCAGGGGTAGGCTAAGACCGGAAGGGAGTACGATGAGGCCGGGCAAGGACCGACTGGCGCCGGGGAGGACACACTGAGGACGGTGCAGGGCCGACAGGAAAAGACTGGGGCCGGGTAAAAGTAGATTGAGGCCCGACAGGGGTAGAATGAGGTCGGGCAGGGCACACTGAGACCGGACAGTGGCATACTGAGGCCGCGAAGCGGCAAGCTGATTTCAAACAGCAGTAGAGTGGGGGCCGACGGGGGGAGACTAAGGCCGGCTGGTGGTGGACTCAGGCCGGCCAGGCGGAGCCTGAGGCCGAGCAGGGGGCCTCGCACGCCCGCACGTCCTCGCACGTCCCTGTCGCATGATCGGTGTTTCCTGGTCGTGTATACCCCAGCGGCGGGGCCAGCACGCGTGCCGGACTCCGAGACCGGTCGGCGCCTCTCATTAGCACCGATTTACGACAGTGCCGAGCGCTGTTCGGAATTTACGAGAGCGTCATCCGTGCACGCGTCACCCGGGTGCTGGACTCGGCAGCTGTCCACGTGCGGCGCACGCACGCCCTGATTTAGAGCCGCTCACCGACCACGCACGGCGCCCGCCAGGAGGGCTTCGGAGTGGCGGTTGGGCTGGCGCGCTTCAGACGGGCCCGCTGCCGGCCAGATGGCGGCGGATCTGATGACGGCGCCTGTCACCGCAGAGCTCGCTTCTCGGCCCGCCGGTCTCTCCCGTGACGCCCCATAGGGTCGTGTGACACCACCGGCCTCTCCTTCTGACGCCCCCACAGCTGTATGACACCGGTCGGAGCCGGCCGACCTCTCCTCGTGACGCTCCCGCGGGTCACGTGACGCCGGTCGGAGCCGGCCTGCCTCTCCTCGTGACGCTCCCGCGGGTCATGTGCCGCCGGTCGGAGCCGGCCTGCCTCACAGCCCGTCGCTCCTCAGTCTGAGCGGAGGTGGTCTTCCCTGACTGCTCCCCCCCCCCCGCCGGACAGATTCGCGGCCCGTAACGCCGACTGTAACCTGCCGCCTCAAGTGGGGGAGTGCTCTCCCGGACGACACCACTCGCAGCCACCGTCGGTTTATGCGCTTTCTATGGGCGGCGGCGGTGACGGCGGCACCGTAAACGGCTTTGATCGGCCGCAGAGGAGCGACCGCGACTGGCGATGAAGAGGGTGAGTGCGCTCCGAAGAGGCTGGCGGTGATCGTCGCCAGCCGGGAGGCGGCGAGGGTCGGCGGTCGGAGGCGCAGCCCACTCCCCGAGCTGTCTCCGAGCCCGCCACCAAACCCGCGCTCGCAGCGTTGACGCGTCGCCGGGCCGGCCGTCAGCTCGGCCTGAGCGCCGAGAGACGGAGCGCCGCCGTCCGTCCTCCGCCGGCTGTAATCGGCAGGGCCGCGCGGGCGGTCCCAAATCGAAAATGGCGCGCGCCAGCGCCGCAGCCCGTTAATTCCGACGCGGGACGTAGCTCGCCGGCGGCGGTGGCGTCGTCAGCGTCGCGCCGCCTCCGCCGCCGCCGCCGCCGCCGCCGTCGCCGTGTTGCAGAGTCGCCGCGCCACCCGCCGCCTCTCTCATAAATTTGTCAATAGGGCAGGTAGCGGGCGGCGGCGCCCCGCCGCGGGCGCTATTACCGCCCCGGTAACGATGCTGCGGGCGCGCCGGCGGCCGCGGGGGGCCGAGCTGGTCATGGCAGCACGCCGACGTGAAGCGGTACACATCGACATCGATCGAGCGCGACCGCCCGCCGCTTCGGAGCCGGGCCGGCTCTCCATCCCACGCCACGCCTCGACGCTCGGAGCCGCTCGCGACCGAGCGTCTCATAGCGGCCACTGCTGTGACAGGAGTCGTCGAGTCGGCGTCGGGTCACCACCCACGCCCGCCACGCTGAGACAGACGCGCTGACCAATCTGACAGCTGGCCAGCTCGCGCCCACGGAGAAGCGCGCACGGACAGCTCTTGGCAGCGCTCACGCCACG